GTGCAACGGTGTCACAATGGCACTCGGAGGCGGTCTGGCTGGTTTGGTGGTACGAGGAGGGACATGAAAGAATAAACTGTTCCGAAACACACAAAAATTCCTACCGCATGCTAAACAGTGTAGGTCCCTTTCTCGTACTACTTTACAAGGACTTTGATTCAAAACCTACGTTCTTGTGCCAAGAAGAATCACAAACTGTTTTTACTCGTGTTCAATTGCAAACTGGATGTAAGATAACCTCGACTTTCGACCATCAGTCGGATGGTACAACCGTGTCTATTCACAACCGTACAATACAAACACGACCCTGGTAGTTTCAATGTACAAGGCGATAGCAACGGTGCTACTGAAATGCAACATGGAAATGAAAAAGGGAAAGTGCAGGAAGGAGGTTGCACTGACGCCCGTATGTAGTGCTGGTCCATTCTGTTACATAGGGACGCACCCGTAACGTGGGTTGCATCCCCGGAGGCCGCCGCTGTACGGCCCTCCGGCGATGCACGGAGCTTTAAGGCGGCGTTGCGTGTCGCTGTTGTAGACGCTGTTGCCGAAGCTGTCCATGAGGACGCGGCGGTGCATCTCCAGGACCACTGCAAGCTCAGGCGCCACGCCGTCCTCCAGCTTGATTGACGACGTTGGCATGACCTGCCGCACCGCCACCGCCGCGTCCATGCTGGCGGCGCCGCCGGCAAAGGCCGTTGCCTTTGCGCCCGGGCCAGCGAGCAGTACAAGCGCGAGGATTGCTAGAGAGATGCACTCCTTTCTGCCCATGGCCGCTTAGCTAATCCGTGTGTGCTGGGCAGCCGTGGACGAGAGTGTGGTAACTTAGGAGCAGCTAGCACTTGCTTATAGTATATCGAGGGTTGGTATGGGGCACCTCTCATGGCCCCCATTTGGATTGTACACATCCATCTGTTGTCTCTGCCTTTTTATTGCATTATTGCACGATGTTTTGTACGTGTACATGCAATGCAGCAGCAGCTTAATTTGCTCCGGTTCCCGTGTATGGGCGTGTAGAAGTAACCATTGTCGGGTACTTCTGCGCAGTGGAAATAGACCGGCACGTGAACTCGAGCTGTAGGGATTTGTGACCCGTGTCAGAGTGAAGAGGTAGTAAGAGGGACGGCGGGAGCGAAGATGATATATACTACCAAACATAGTACTCCCTCCGTCCGAAAATACTTGTCATCAAAATGGATAAAAAGAGATGTATCTAAAACTAAAATACATCTAGATACATCCCCTTTTATTCATTTTGATGACAAGTATTTCCGCACGGAGAGAGTACATCACTTGATAGCACGTATTTTTGTCTGCAAAGAAGATACTCGCGGGCTGCTTGGAAGAGCTCGCGGCGCAACCGACAAACTGATGCCATGTGTGCGGAATAATATACTTAGCAAAAATGTGAACCAACGGGCCCAAACTTATAGTGGGTCAACCAATGGAGGTAAAATATCTCATTAATCCCGTAAATTTTGTTCTGGAGCCCCGTAATATATATCCAACTAAATGATATACAATGACAATGATGCTATTTTAAAAGTGGAACATAGGATAACTGTTGAGGTGCAGAAAAGAGAAACCCGAAAAAGGCTTTGCCTTCTCTCAATTAAAAGATGATTTAGTTACTAATCTCCTACCATGAGTAGATTGACTCAAGGAGATGGGGATCGGAATACCGGGTTCTTTCACGCACAAGCTTCAACGAGAAGAAGTCACAACAGAATCACTTGTTTGATAGCTGCTTATGGTTCCGTGTGTGAGGCGAAAGAAGATATGAAAGCTGAGGTGCAAAGTTTTTATACCGAGTTATATACCGCTCCGGCAGTGCTAGATGTAGAGGCTGTTCTGGACCATGTACCAAGGAGTAGGAATGACAGTTTAATGCGTCCTTTTGAGGAAGCCGAAGTTACCAAGGCCCTATTCAGAACGTGGCCTTCAATAGCGCCGGGAACCAAAGGGTTCAATGCGGGCATCTACCAGCGGCATCAGGACCGGAGGGTGTTAGAGCATCTCCAGCCGTTCGGCCCCCTAGCACACCAGTCGACGCTATTTTGACCCCTTGACCAGCGGTTTTTGGGTCCTGGGACGATCTAGTTCCCAGCCATGCCCCCAGGTACCGGCAACAAGATGTTATAAATTCAAACTCGCCATTTCCCGCTACCCAATAAAACACCAATAAAACAGGCAGAATATACAGGCAGAATATACTGGAGAAAAACTGCCTCCCGGGTAGCACGCTCGGGCGACTCCGGAGGTCCCATCGAACCTAGCCAGCAGCACATCCTTCCCAGATCTGTACTTGCCGCCGTCGTTGCCAGCCGCAGGTGCGACAACGGCTGCGGCGCTGCCCTTTCACCAAAGGTGGAGGGTCTGTGGTGGCTCCAGCCTACCTACTCTGCAAGCGCAGAGGACAACGGCATCGAGAGGAGCTGTTTGGCGGAGGCGGAGGTGCTCACCGCTGTAGGGTTCTATGCTGCGGCTTGGATCATAGCCCGTCGCCGCCGCGCGGCGTCGTTGGGCCATGTGGCCAGGGCGTCGTCCTCCCGCGCGCGGTCCCGCCAATGATCTGGATCCGCTGGCCCCTGATCCGTGATGTGCGGGTGGGGCCCAGGGACGGGCATGACCGGCGGCTAGTGGTAATCCGGCTAATGGCTGGCGCCGGGGAAGCTCGGTCTGCCGAGGTCATCGCTGCCCTCACTGCTGCCGCGACCACGCGGGAGTCCAGAAATCCTCGTCCATGCGGACGGCGCGGCGGTCAGGTCTGTTGTCTGGCAGCCGCAGCTTCAGCGTCCTTCGTGATCGATCCGATGTGACTACCTTGATTCAGATCTGGACAGCTTGGTTGCGGTGATCCACACCCAATTGGCTATGTGCTGCAGCGACTCCTACGGCTCCACGATGTCGACGATCATCGAAAAGTCTATTTTTTAGGGTAATGGTTGACTTCGACGGTGAGATGCAAACTATGGGCAGCGACTTGACGCAAAGGAATGATTATGCAACGACAGCAATCACATCGCATGTAGTTGTTGGGATCGTGGAGAAGTGGTGGCGATAACACATGAGTGACTTCGATGGTGGTGCTACTTGTGCACCTGGTCTCAAGCTCCGAGGTGAAAGCCTAGGTCTGGCCAATTGGTATACCTAGTAATGGCGATATTTTTCTTACGTCGTTACCATGTTGAAAGTATTGCTCGGTTATGCTCAGACTGATTCTTCAGGGTGAAAATCTAGATTCTAGCATTTGTTGTTGGATCCGGTGACGACGGTGCTTGAGCGCCGCTCCCTTTCTGAAGGGGTTGTTGTTGAAGAAATCCGTTGTCCATGTGGTGTCATGAGATAGTTGGTGCGGATATGGTCATTGTCGTAATTTGCCGATCGTGGATATGATCGCTTGGGTTTTAATTTTTCATCGCCTAAGCATAGCTTTGGTCGCATGTGACTTTGCTATTTGCTGGCGTGTTGTGCGTGTGCGTTGGTGTTGGCTGTGTGCATCCTAGTTATGCAGAGGCCGGGTGTGTGCTTATTGTGTTTGTATCCTCTTGATGCTTCATTATGAGCTAACAAAATCCGTCCTTTATCGAAAAATTAAAATGCCACAAGTCCGGCGATCACCATGCCACAGTTCGGTGATCAATCACTCGAAAGTTCTGCGTTAAAAAATAAAGGACGTGCAGGCAATGCATCAAACGACGGTGCCCTCCTCCGGCGTCGGACTAGCAGGGGTTGGCGTGTGTGGCTGCTCGGCGTCGACGCGGCTTTTGTGCTGGGCGTCGTGGAGACATCATCGTTCGGGCTTGGCGGTACGTCAGCAGATTCATGGAAACACCGACGAGCGAGCACTGGGCTGCCATGAAGCAGCTGCTCAGGTACATCGCGGGCACACAGCAGCTGGGGTGTTGTTACTCCCAGCAGGCTCGCGGCGCAGAGCTCGTCGGCTACAGCGACTCTGACCTCGGGGGAGATTTGGATGATCGCAAGAGCACCAGCGGCACCATCTTTTTCCTCGGAGGCAGTCCAGTGTCTTGGCAGTCTGCCAAGCAGAAGATCGTCACGCTCTCCTTGTGCGAGGCGGAGTACGTCGCCGCGGCTGGAGCCGCGTGTCAGGGCATCTGGCTCAGGCGGCTGATTGGAGAACTACTCCGGCGCAACGACCGCGCCACGAAGCACTACATCGACAACAAGTCCGTGATCACACTAAGCAAGAATCATGTCTTCCACGACAGGAACAAGCACATCGAGCTGCGCTACCACTTCATTCGTCAGTGTGTCGAGGACGGCAGCATCAACGTTCAGTACGCGCGGACTGATGATCAATTCGCTGACATCCTCACGAAAGCGCTCGGCCGAATTCAGTTCCAGGAGATGCGTGATCGTGTGGGCGTCATCAGGTACAAGCCAACCTAGCTTAGGGGGAGTTTGTTGCACAATAAGCTAGTTTAGCTAGCGTGTCAGGTTTCAGTTTTTCAGACTTTGCTTCAAAGTAGCTTTTCTGTTAGGATTCAGTTAGTGTTTTCTGTCAGGTTAGTTAGTAGCTGCCGTGAGACGCAAGCTTGTGCGGTCCGTGGAGCGATTGTAGGGAGGCCGTGGACTGCGTGCTCGATCGTGGGATGGCACGATCCGGTAGGGGTGGCAGAGCCGCGGCATGATCTTGTTAAGTTCGGAAATAAAAGGAAGAAGCAGAAAAGCAGTATGCAAGTTCGCTGCGCAAAACCTCTCTCTCGTGAGCCGATTCAGAGTGTCTCGAGGAGAACAGACTGTACCTACGCTGACTGGCCGCCGCCTACGGGCAGCTCGATTGGGCGTACACAACATGCAGATGAGGACCATGGGTTTTAACTTGCATCATGTATGAACCCATACCATAGCGTGATATCATGAAGACTTTTGCTCTCTGTGTGTGTACGCCGCTGCTGCCAGGAGCCAGCGACGTAAACAAAAAGAGAGTAGACATGTGTTATAGAGAAACACTATTTTCTAAGATGCCCGCAAAACCTTTTTTTTTTAAATCACACGAGAATTTAGTTATTGTCTTTGAATCGCCAAGTACTTCCACATCCTTAGACCATTTACTCAACATAATGTTCCTGGGTTATCACATAATCTCATGTCACAGATTGGTAGTTTGAAAATTCAGTATATTTATACTTAATGTTGGATATTCATCGCCAATAAGTTAAAAAATAGCCATGCCTAGTGGTGGGATTCGAGCCGAGTCGAGCCAGCTCGACTCGACTTGCTAAAGCTCGCTTCATTAACGAGCTAGCTCGACTCAACTCGTTACTATAACAAGCTCAAATCCAAAATTGGATCGACTCGTATAACTCGCGAGCTGCCTCGTTTAGCTTGTTAAGCTCATTAAAGATATGAACATAAAACCTGACGAATACGACAATAAGATTAACTAGGAATTTAACATGTATATATATGGCCATGTACGTGCGAGTCTCCTGGGTGACTAGGCCTTGAGCGGTTGGGCCTTGTGCTTGGACGCAAGGTGTTTAGTGGCTATTTTTACGACCCATCAAGAAACACTGATTCTTTTACCGAGCCTAACAAGTTATACGAGTATTTGTGAGATCAGCTTGTTTAACTCGGCATGTAAACGATTTTAAACTAAAGCTTGGCTCGACTCGTTATTGTTCGAGTTCGAGTCGATTCGAGCCGAGTCACGAGCTACTAGTTTTAGCTCGCGAGCTTCGAGCTTTTTTTCCCAGCCCTAGCCATGCCTTTATTTCACAAAACTACGGTACCATCAGATTTGTGCATTTTATATATTTATTTAACTCCAGTTAATATTTACCAAACTACAAAATCATAGAAAAGTACATGTTTTCATTATGGGAGAATTTAAAGCCACAGCTCCAAATGCATATCAAATGAAAAATGTTGTCTTTTCAACCTATATTGCCCATCTTAAATCCAATTTCATATCATACTATTGGAATCTTATTTTTGAGCGCATGTTCCAATCTCAACGCCACTACTATGGAAAATTATGCTACATGTCTCTATATGTCATTAACAATATATTTATAGTTTATGACCTTAAGTTAAACAATTGAAAATGTTGGACGCAAGTCCATATCTCAACTCCACTTACCTATGTAATGTGACGGACAAACTATCTCCTACTTGGGATCTAAACTTCGATTACACTATGCACTAATATATCATCACACACAAATTAATGAATACGATCAACATTATTATCTATCAAATATAATATTTATTTATAAATACTTTCACATGTTAGATCTCCTCACATTTAATTCAACACCCTAGAGTGCTCTAGCCCAATCGAGTCATTATAATGGAACTTCAATGCTACAATGGTGATGCTCCAGCGCAGGGACGGAGCCAGGATTTGAAGATAGGGGGGGCGAAATATATAACTATCACACACTTATTATATATATCGTCTCATATAAAACCGCGTTGTATATTTTGTAATGGCGCAAGCAATAATAATTTATGTATGAGAAAATAACGCTTGTCTTGCAATTGTTGCTGTAAATGTAGCTCTAGGATTACCTACATAATCATACGATTAGCAAGTTGAATTTGGATTTTCTGTGCAAAGCGTTCTAATTGCAAGGAAATGGTTTGAAAAGTGCAATGTGTTATCTTCTTCCAATCTATCACCAAGTAATCACATGTAACTACATATGTGCTACTACGTAAAACATTAGGGATTGCCGTATCAGACCATATCAGTAATATGTTAATGTAAAAAAATTCTACGTTTATACCTCAAAAAATGTTCCATTGCTGCCATGCATGGAAGATGGCGCGTGCTTATGGCAAGCCGGCAACAGAGATCAACAGAGGCCATCATAGCGTCACCATTTGCTCGAGTTTGGATGCAGAGGAGATACAACGATCACAAATAATGTGCTTCCTGGTGGTGGCTGATAGCAACAAGGGGGCGGCGGCGGCGGCGGCGATTGGCGATATTAGGAATCTGAGACAAGATCGTGTGAGCTAATTGGTAATGCATGTAATTCTACAATTACACCTTCTACGGTTTGAAAGACAACCTAATATAATTCTGAAAATAAATACTAACCTTTTTTCGCGTTTGGTTGCTCATCCGTGTGCCCGGCCGGCAAGAGCATATCGTTGGATCGACAACGACGCTTTCCTGTCCTCTTCTCTTCTCGGAGAGATTCGATAGAAGATCCAGCAGATGGCCGGCGGCAGTCTCATCGCAGGAGCAGTTTTTTTAGCAGATTGGAAACCAAGCGATTAGGTCTAGAGGAGACCTGAACGGCTGAACCAGACGTGCTACTTCCTAGCGTGGCTCGACCATCGTGGGCTACTTTTCATTTTTCTATTTCTGGGATTTGGGCCTATAGCCTGCAATCGCATGCGACAAAAAGTACATGGGCTGGCATAGGGGGGGCGAAGCAGGTCACGGACAGTTGCCTAGCGAGAAAAAATAGCAACTAACTGATCGCTATCAAGGTGACACGCGATCGTTAGGGGGGGTCTCGCCCCCCCTCGTCCCCCCTTGAATCCGTCCCTGCTCCAGCGTACCAAGCCGTAGGTACGTCCCCGGAAGAAGCATTCATCATAACGTTTGGTACAGGTGGGTTCTCAACGGACCACCGACCAGCAATCTCGCGCGGTACTGATTGCAAATTTGCAATCCGGTGGTCAGATGGCACACACTTGCTGCTCGACCGTCCCACCGACACAATACAAGTACAATATATGTTCGTTTATATATGGTGCCCACGTTTCCACACTTAGATTTTGTTTTTGGAGAAAGAACGATCAGCTACGGTGCTACGCCAACTCTTGCGAGCACTTCCAGGTGGCCATACACATGCACTCCTTTTGTTCAAGTGGTGTCCATATGATTCAGGTTGTTATACACGTGCACGTTCGACGTGCGGATGGTGTTCATTTTTTGTTAAGGGGTCCAAAATAAAGCGTTCCAGTCCATTTCAGGTTGAGAAGAATAAAACAAACCGAGATGTAAAAGGCTTGTTTTTAGGTGTTATGTTTGTGTTACGTCTAGTTATGGTTATAAGTTGGTTAGGCTGCAGCTCGAGGACAAGCTGCATGTCCAGGTGAGGTGTAGTGTTAGAGTACGTAATGGGCCTAATGAGCCCGTTAGTCTTAAAGTTAATTAGAGATAAAGGTCGCTTGCTTATGGGTCAAGTAAGCCTTTCTTGAGAGTCAAGTAAACCTCTCTATATAAAGAGAGAAGATGTATCAATCTAATCAAGCAAGAATTAAGAAGGAAATCCCTCCTCTTGCCCGACCGTGGGCAGAAAGGCCCCCGGCCGGCCTTCTCGCGTCCTCCTTCTAGCAGTGTCGTAACAATTAATGTTAAAGTATGTAATGGGCCTAATGGGCCCGTTAATCTTAGGGTTAATTAGAGATAAGGATCGCTTGCTTAGAGGTCATGTAAGCCTTGCTTGAGAGTCAAGTAAACCTCTCTATATAAAAAGAGAAGATGTATCAATCTAATCAAGCAAGAATTAAGAAGGAAATCCCTCCCCTCTTGCTCGACCGTGGGCAGAAAGGCCGGCGGCCGGCCCTCTCGCGCCCTCCTTCTAGCAGCGTCATAATAATTTGATATCAGAGCGAACCCCAGTCTACAAGAAAGTGCCATTGCACCCTTACCACTAGGCTACTGCCTAGTCCTCTATCACATGTTTGGCTCTTGCCAACATGGGCTTTATTCTAGATTAAACTCCTAGTTTTTAACAATGGCTATATATACGTAGCATATATTTGCTTTCGATCATGATTGGATGGTACAATCACCACCACTCAACAGTACTACAAACAAGACTGCATGCAAAGTTACACGTACTCCCTCCGTTTCTTTTTAGTCTGTATATAAGGTTTGGTCAAAATCAAGTTTTGTAAAGTTTGACTTACTCTATATTAAAAACTATCATCATTCACCAGATGAAATCAACATTATCAGATGCTTCATCAAATGTAGTTTCATACTATATAATCTTAGTATCATAGATGTTCATATTTTTTAACATAAATTTGGTCAAACCTTGTGTACTTTGACTTTGACCAAAATTTATACGCGGAGTAAAAAAAACCGAGGGAGTACTCCAAGAAACATGACACGATCGTAAAATACATGGTCAAAACGGAAATGAAAATATACAGTAAAACACTGATCGGACGGACGAAGTGCAGTGCGGGAAGGAGGTTGGACCGACAGCCTCAGGGCTGTTCGGTTCACTCCCCCTAACGGCACTGGTACCTTCGGAGGCATGCCCGGCCGGTGTAGGCCCCTCCGCGCGCCGGGCACGTCCTGGTGCAGGCTGCCTTGTTGGGGTTCAGGGAGCTCGCGCTGATGCCTCTGCCGGCGAGGACGCGGCGGTGCCCCTCCAGGTCCACCGTAGCCGAATCCGCGAGTTCCGTCGCCACGCCGTCCTCCAGCTTCATGGACGATGACGACGTTTGCATCACCGCCGCCGCGGCGTCGATGCCGGGGAGCGCCGCTGCCCTCGTGTTAGGGCCGGCGAGCAGGAGCGCGAGGATTACGAGCGAGACGCACGCCTTTGTATCCATGCTAGCTTAGCTAATCAATCCGCCGGAGAGTGTTAGCTAGTATAGGAGGAGCACTGACTTGTAGATCGACGTTCGGTATTCTTTTGAATAGTCGACGTTCGGTACTTTGAATACGTTCGGTATTGGGTAGCTCTCGTGGCACTGTCTATTTGTCTCTGCTTAATTGAATTCAATGCAGCAGCATTTTCTAGGTGAACAACAGCGCTTAATAATAATAAGCACCCGACCAATTGGAGAAAAAGGAACATTCCAATAAAGGGTTATGAACTTGTAATTATAGAATGGAATCGATCATCAAATTATAAGTTCTCTGAATAGCGGAGATTGTTAGGTTTTCGGGTCTGGTTTTCCTTATAAACTAGACCAACTCTCTTCTTCTTAATGAAATGCAGGAACCCCCTACGCTCACACGATGTTTCTTATAAAACAAAAGCAAAAAATCATTCCAACCAGACAAGATCATTCTATTACACAAGATAATTCCCGTAACCGAGAACGGGATTTTTACAACGATCGCCCGGCTAAGGACTAGAAAACCACCCGACATTGTGGGCCTGTAAGAGTTATAGCTGTAACCCATGCCTTTTTTAACTCCAACCAAGCACAATAATGGAACCAACCAATTTCTATGAAACAAAACCATGACATTTCAGTACTTTTGGTCCTCAAACCAACCCCATCCTTAGTAGGTTACGACACAACCATCACTACAAACTACATACACATGCACGGAAACACACACAAAAACAGAAAAGGAAAGGCATGACATCACCGAGATTATACCAAGACACAGAGAACCACCAATGCCCCATGCTAAGCTGAGCCATTGTGCCTTCCCTCGGTAGCAAACTGGACATACACCTATATCGCTACATCAGCATACTGAGCGATATACAAGGTGACAAGAGCTTCTTGGGCCATCGAAGCGCATTGATCGGTAGAAAAATCACCACCAACACGAACAGGGCCATCGAAGGGCATATATCACTACATCCCTTTCAATTCTCTGGCAACCGAACACGGCCTAATGAGGATGCATTGACGCCGGTAGTGGACGGGAGAGGTAATCTTGTCGTTCATATGGAGGAGGTGAGTGGAATCAGGTTCTTATCATTTCGCCTCTCCAACCAAACACACGGATGGAACCGAGCCATGCCATTTTTTTTATCTCCGACCAATCACAACAGTGAAATCAACAAATCCTTTAGAATGGAACCATGACATTTCATAACATTTGGTCATCAAACCAAACACATCCTTAGTAGGATACGACACACCCGGCACTACAAATTACATACAGGACATGCACAGAAATAGACCAGAAAAGGAAAGGCATCACATCACCGAGATTACGCCATGACACAGAGATCCACCAACTCCCCCAAAGGGCAAGGCTAAGCTGAGCCATTGCACGTCCCCTCTGCAGCGAACTCGACATACTCCTATATCACTACATCAGCATAGTGAGTGACCTACAAGGCGGCAAGAGCAGGGGTGGACCTAGAGAGAAAATGACCCGGTGTCCTAGCATATGATCACTCATATTTTCATCTAAAGATGGGGTGCCACACCGAAAGTGCTTTTGTGAGCTCGAGCACCTGTGTGCTCGTTATCTCTGCCACCAGTTCGTCTCGAGATGCACAGCCCACGAAGTATAGGCCCAGGTATGAACTCTGTATTTGATTTATTATAGTGTCCTATGGCCCACGTCTAATAAGCATCAGCCGTTACCCCGTTAGGCATGGAGAGGGCGGCTCGGGACGGAGGTAGACGATATGAGCCGTCTTGCAGAAGATTCCGTGCTAACGGTGTTAGAGAGTCTCTACTCCTAATGGAGCAGTTGGTAGTCTCGCTTCCAGGTTTTTTTTCGTCCCACCACTTTCGTCCGGTTTTTTTTCGTAGGTTAACCGTCGTAGATTTTTTTCGATGTTGGTTTCTTATTCACCGGTTTATTTACCCCTCAGCTCTTTCCTTGCAAATCAGCACTTTCCAAACGTGCACGCAATCACGGATCTAAATTTACTAACTTATCCAAATCAACCGATACCTTCCATTATTGCAAATTTCTTTAGGAAACAAATAATAGATTTTAAGGAAACAAATAAAAGATTTTAAAGACGCATCATACTTTACTAACAATCACTAAAAATCAAATCTAAATTAATTAACCTTACCTTAAATCACTCAATCACTTTAATTAGAAAACATTTTCTTTCCTAACTGCACCCCGCTTAGTGTGCACATAACAATCCGAAGTAATTAGAGTCACATGATTGAATCCATTTATTTAGAGCGACATGATTGCGTTCCGGGATGGAGGCCATGATTTCGTCGATGTCGTTGCTGCCTCCTACACTCAGGGTGTGTCGCCGAGATCGAGGCGAGCATGAGGAGCTGTGGCCACCGCCATGGTCACCCCATCGCAGGGGATGGAGCACGCCGTCGGCCTACAGCTTGTGGAGATCACTGTTGCTCTTCAGGTCGCGTGGTGACCGGATCTTGCCGATGTGTCCCTCCCCGACGACCTCCTCTTCGCCCGGTTGGCTGGCATGGATCTCGCCACTACTGCCCTCAACTTCTCTGCCTCGAGCTCGACGGTCAGCCACCATGGATCCCCCAGCTGGAGGGTCACGTGAACCAGCCGTCCTCCCATGCTGCAGCGGCGAGAATGTGACATGGCTCTCCGTACACGAAGAGTGGAGTTCGGTCAAGTACTTATATACTTGGCCTCTACTGCTGATCCATGTACATGGAGAAGAACAGGCAACCGCTCATTCATGCTTCGTTCCACTCCTTTGCGCTACATTACTGGAGGTGACATTTTTCTATCTCTCTATGTTGTAACAAGCCTGCTGCCTGCATAGTTAATGGATTTTTTATTTAAATTTATCGCTGCTTAGTGCTTTGTTGCAATTGTTCACCCAAGATTCTTATATATAATCTGAGCGTATGTAGGCATACTTAGCTTTGCTATTCCATTTTTTTCTGGCGCATAGAAATAAGAGTATTGTCCAGGTTAGGTATTCAATTGAGTATGGTATTTGGATTGCTATCAGAATGTCTTTTCTATGCATGTGATTTCTCATATCTGATTATAATATTTGTGAAGTCGTACATTGCACGTGCACTTGGAAGCGGGCCCGTGGCCCGCGCTGGACGGCGCCGACGCCGACCCGAACCACCTCGTCTGCGTATTCTTGGAGTTGTGGCTGGTCGATTTACATGAAATTAATTCCCTCAATTCTGGTGGCAAATATAATACACATAATCCATATTGTTATGCACTAGCGTGTATGTGTGAAATAGATGGATTATGGTCCCGTACCCAATAAGATGGATATGTGTGTGTGTTAGAGCGAGAGGGAGACGGGGATAGAGAGTGAGGAAGAGGGAGGGAGAGTGTGGTTCTGTGTGTGTGTGAAGATTTGATGGTAAAAAAGGTCATCAATGTCGTAATATTGAACTCTTAAAATTAATGTGGGCCCGTTGCAACGCACAGGCGTTCTTCTAATACATCTATGGTGCCCGGCCGTTGCAGGCTGCAGCTACCAACCTTCCCCAACACGGCGTCTTCTCCACACGCCCTGCTAAATCCAATCCAAAGCAGAACAGATCCGCCGCGCGCGGCAACCAATCTCCCATCTCTTGGATCGCTCGTGGTGGAGCGAATGCAGGGCATCGTTTCTACAGGTGCAGCGAGAGAGATGTAAGTTGCAGATTAAACACTGCATGATTAATCCAGTCAGATCCGTTTTTAATTATTGTGTGTGCCGATCCTTTTGATTCTGCAGGGTGTACTTTGTGGATTCATGAGATCGAAAGAGGAGTACAAGGTGAATAGCGTACGAGGTGATTTGGGAATAGAGCTGCTGCCGGATTTCATTATCGAGGTGGTGCTGTTCTTATCTGTCTGAAGCTTACACGTATTTCAGCTTGGAAAAGCTAGCACAAATGTAAATTTGGAAAAGATATTCGGGAAGTCGTAATCCTGGGGGGAGGGGGATGGGGAATGTTAGTTACCATCCATCTTGATGTGGTGTGATAATGGTTCCCATAGTTTTCCATGCTAGTATATATCATGGTGTTTTGAGCCACTGATTACAGTTTAGCTTGCACCCCGTACATTTGGTGTGTAAGACTGTAAGTGATTGTCATCACTCTGCGCTTACTATATTTATTTGTGTGTAATCCCATGTGATGACACTACGCGCCTTATGTGAGCTGCTTGATGATAACATGGAACTACTCGATGCTTGGACTGGTTTATATAATGTGGCTGACTTGTTGTGTGGTATTCAGTTAAGTTTGGGTGTTCTGTACATGTAAATTCAGTTAAAGTTTGCTCCTGTGTGTGGTAGCTGCTAAAGGGCCAGAGCATGTAGAAGGCATCAGTCTGTAAGACTATCTCTAGCTGATCCAGGATGGTGCCATTGGACACTTGGGGGTGTGAGTTGCAGTTAAGTTTGGTGCCCCGTTCATGAGCCAGTGGCCGTTTTAAGCAAGGGAAAGGGTAATGTGTTTGTGAGATGAGGTTGGAAACTGAATAAATTTTCATATCTGTTGTAGATGTTGTCTATTGATTTTGCAGACTGACCAAATCATGGGACAGTTGTCGGTCAGCGCGAATGTGTTGGATCTCAAACATGAATGAGCGACTGTATAGATCAGACATCAAAAAGCTCGTGGATGCAAAAAGTGTTGATCACCGAGCTTAAGATACCCCAACATGTGCATGGGACGACGCAAGGAGAGAGTATATCAGGGGCAGCAAATTGCTTAACAAAAAAGGATATGGTTTGAAACCATGGTCTTTGATAGTACAATGCTCGGCACATAATTCAAATGTAGCATTAGGGGTACAAGCTTGCGTTGAAAACACTTCTTTTCATGAGATGATAAGGATAAATCACCCAGTGGGACATCCTGGGTAATTTAGTACATCGGTGTTTTAGCTGGTATCAAATGTGGAGTCTGATAGGGCAAGAACATGCCAAACTGCCTCACGGGCGGGGGAGGAGAAATTTCCCTGTAGCTTCATGCATTCGTGCGCAGGGCGTCGTGCTTTGATTTTGATATGTTGTGCTGTGCAATGAAGCCGATGCATACCAGTGAGGACAGAATTTAAGCAAGGGTAACATAATTTACTTTGAATCAAACATGGGAACATATTGGACAGTTTCATACCTTTGTAATGGGCAGCTTCAGGTTGTCCCCGTCGAACTGACGGACTATGTGGACAACGCAAGCACCAAACTCCTCGCTGCATGAAATTCACATAAAAAAAATGAAGACCCGGTGAATATTCGTTTTCATATTGGCATGGCATATATGTGAGTACACAAAAGAACAAGTATCTACTATAATACCGTGTGAATTTGGTCTCAGCGAATGCCAGGAACTTCACAGTCCAGCCTTCCTTGCTTGCTGGCCACCCGGCATAGTATTCTGTCCGGCAATGGAACAGGGCATAATGTAGCTTCCATGCTATGATTTCGTCCAGTTGCTGGGTAGGTGGGTGTGGACATTTCTTACTGGACAACAGGTTGATGACTGTCATCAGCCGTGTAACCGGCCATGTCCCAAAAAATGACCATCCAACCTTCGGGATCTGGAACGGGAGTGAAGAACTGCAATTCAAAATACGTGTTTGTGTTGGTCATCATCGCCGCCAAGAAATCACAGACGACAAACTTCTGGTTCAACTAGGACAGACGGTATAATGATATTATGCTTGTATTTTCCATACCAGTTGTGCTGATGTGATGTCATACTTCGGCGCACTAGCTGCTAACTGGTTCTGAATCGACAGTGTGGACATAGTCGAAATCGGATAGCACCAATGTCTGCAACAGGGTAATGCATCAAAATCAGAACGCAATCAAAAACTGTTAGTTATTTGCATAGGTCGCAATGATAAATTTCCCTCACCGAGTAATCTGGTTCAAGTGGGTGCCTCCATGTTAGGTGGGGCAATTCTTCATCGGCTTCCTGGTCAGCCTGGCAATACCGATGGAGAATGACAGACATCAGCTCATGGTCAATCATTTTTTTCCTCACATCATCCTCCGACTGCTCTCG